TTGTATTGACATAGAATCAACAGAATTGTCTGGTTCCTTGATCATGACACAACTGGATGCATATGATGGCAATTAAAGATTCATACATGTGTACATTGATCTTCGTCAGCCAATAAGCCAAAAAACTACAGCTAGCAAAATAACAAGTTTATCTTACTTTTCCAAATGAATCTTAATGTACATGTAGCATCAACATTCATCAAACATTGTTATATTTCTTAGATTTTCTTAAATCAAACCATCCTTTTCTTGTTGTAGGTCATAATGTTGTATCAAATGACATTCCAATTTTCTTGAAATTACTTGAGGCGTTTGGACTACAAGAAAAACTTACATATCATTGAATGTATTCACTTTATTTTGTTGAACTACATCCTGAGTTTAAAAGTTGTACACAATGATGTACAGTTTATGGTGGGATTCCTCTAACTTTTATGAACCTGTGTGCATAAAATCTATACTTTGAAGTTACAAATTATTACCTATAATAGATTATATGTTCTTACGTAAATTATTACAATATTTTTGTATGTATGTAATGATAACCGAATAACTCCCTATTTCCCCGCACTTTTTACCATGTGAGGCTTTAGTGTATTAATATCTGACTACTGATGACCAGACACTCTCCATTAAAGTGATACGGCGCATCTCATCATAAAACTGACTTGATAAAATTTTCCTACAAGATTTGGAATTTTTGTATTACTCATAAATGTATAAACTTTCAGAAAATTACAACTTTCTCAAATAAATAATTCTGATTATTTCATTAAGATTAATATTTATTTATTGGACATAAATATATACATCGCAACGTGTGCGGGGTTCCACATTCCATGCTATGCACGCATGCGTAGTTTTCATAAACATAACAGCATGGTAAGAAATGGAAGCCCGGTAGGCCTGCTACATTGACAAAATCGACCAAAAAGAAAAAGAAACTGAAAATAGGGCTTGAAAAAGCAGATTTCCTGACTAACATTTAGTTTGAGGATTAATATAATCGTTGGATAAGGAAGAAACGGGAACTCGGCGACACTCACGCAGGGGCTCGCGAAGGTTCTATTTTAGAATTCACGTGGTACAAATAAACAGATCTAAGATTGTTCCAGTTCGTACGACCCTTGATTTTCCGGCAGATTCTAATTCCGTTAATTTTGTATGAGGAGAGAATATTTCTGTTTCTCAGACTGCTTACATCAACTTAATACCTTATTTCATAAAGATATATTAGGTAAATTTGAATGAAAAAGCACACGTTTTGCAGCCGTACTGTCGCTTTAAACAGTGAAACACATAACTCATGTTTTTATTTGAATATCTTTAAAACAAGGATAACACACTGTGGATTGATTCTGTTTACAAAACTTCATAATCGTTTGGTTTTATTTATACATGTTATGCATGTATTTGGAATGAAAAAGGAATTGTTAAAGGAAAGTGAAATTAATACTAATGTTGTCAAAGGAAGATTAAAAGACCAGTTTATCTATGCACAGAAATGGTCAAAAGATATTGTCATTGATAATTCATCCAAGAATCATATGTATAATAAATCCATCAAAGTCGATTTTAACGATATAAAGGAAAGTTCATATCTGTTTGAATGTAAGTGCACAAAGGTCAACCAGGGCAACATGTGTCTTGGATGAACATGTATAAATATTTGCTTTTGTGATATAAAATGTAATTTAGTAGAATATTAAAAAGAATTTACTCATTTTCTGTGAAATATTTTTATGACTTCTTTGATAATCTCTCTTAGTCACTATATTCTTCAAAAGTGCATCTTTTGTAAAGGAAGGGGGTAGGGTAGGGTGTAAGATAATAAACTTGCGCCAGGTTGGAATCAAACCCCATTATGTAGTATGCTTTTTTTCTGAAATTTAAGATACCTATTGACTAACTATAATATGCAATAAAAAAAAGAAATTTGATGGGTAATTTTTTAACAGTGGAAGCAGAAGTGTGAGTCTTTGAGCAATGAATATGCAATATTTTAACGTAATTTGACCATGCATCTTGGTAAATGTAATTCTGTTTTTCGCTTACAATGCTTGATAATTTTAAGATTGATGTCAAATATTAATTCATATAGACAGATGTTTGAATTCACATAAGACAAATGATAATTGATATATCAATAAAAATTTTATAGCCCTTTTCATATCTTCTTCTTATATTATTTTACCCTGCTTTTTAGCTCTTCGGTGGGTGAAGAAGGCTATTTTAAAATTATCAAACTTCTCTTAAACTAGCCCGATGACCTACCTTGAATTTTTAATATGATTTAGAACAAAGACTCAACACAAACATATATAAAATAATTCAGAAAATTTCCTTTACTTTTATTTTGAAAAATTCCAGCAAGAACAATGAAAATGCGTGCTTTCACTCATTTTGATGAAATATTGGCATCACATAGGGAAAAGAAAGAAGGATTTTTTATTTGGAGTATTATTCGGAGTAAAGAAGAGTTGCAGTTGCAAATATGCACTACATAACGACTCATCAGCCTCATGCGTTTCATAATATTCGGAATATTAGTTCAATATTTATGATTAACAGCTACAAACCTTTGAAAACCCAAATTATTGTCAAATGTTTAATTAAACATGCAATTTTTTGATTTCTGTAAAGAGGGCTCATTATCAATTCCGGTAATAAAATGAAAATCATTCAACCGTTAAATTACTGATTTGGCAAAGTTGAAGATGTCCTAACTTTTTAAGTACAAAGTTATAACCTGTATATACCCCCCCCTAAAATTGAGATGTTGCGTTTCTTTTGCGTTTCATTATATATAGCTTAAACATCCTCCATTCATTTATATTGATTATTTTAACTGATTAATTATTTTAGCATGATAATTTTTAAAATAAATCAATTTTTTCATTGAAAATAATTAAATGAGTTAAAACATGAGATACCTTAAATTTGGCGTCTTTTAATAAAAAAGAAATGGGGGACAGGCAAAATGTTTTAAAATCATTTTAATGATGAAGCTATTCTTTCGAATAAATTGATGTATGACGTGTACAGTTTATAGAAAATAAAAATATGAGGGATTCGCAAATCTTACCTAAATGCCAAAGAGAATACTAAGGGGTGTTCTTTTAATGAACTTGAGCATCACCTTAACTGAGAAAGAATTCTACAGTGTACTTGCTTACAAAAACGTTATTTTCACTTTAATGCTTATACTATCAAATTTGGTCGCCCGCGTGGCGCAGTGGTTAGAGCGTCTGCTCTAGAGTCGCGAAGTATGGAGTTGATCGATACGTCGCGGGTTCGAATCCCACTGTGGGACGTGGGGACCGGTCCTTCGGATGAGACCGTATAAACCGAGGTCCCGTGTCGCAGTACGTGCTGGCACGAAAAAGATCCCTCACTACTCAATGTCTCTAAGTGCCGAGCATAGGTCAAAATTTGCAGCTTTCCACCGGCAAGTGGTGGCGTCTCCATATGAGTGAAAAATTCTCGTTAGGGACGTTAAACGATATACAAACAAACAAACAAACTATCAAATTTAAACATTAGATATTAAAGGGTAACCGACCCTCTAACTTTCTGAGTAAAAAAAAAATACTAATGTTACTCAAAGTTTACTTTATCAGAGTTTAATTTTCAAGACTTTTGAGTAGTCAAATCGATCAAACGCAACATGTGATGGAAACATTACCTTCTATATACTTCGCCTATACTTTTCAAATTGTTTTATTATATTTGACAAAAAAAAAAAAAAAAAAAAAAAAAAAAAAAAAAAAAAAAAAAACATTTAAATCCAGATTAAAACCCTTACAAATTGAATAACTTTTATCCTTTTAAGGTTAATTTTAAAAATGATTTGATATATGAAGTACAGAATGTAAACTTTTTATTAGTATTACAATTTTTTCCAAATGAAAAAAAAAAATATTTATAAGAAAGGTAACTCTTGCTAACAGATGTATTGTTTTCTTACAACCACATATACCATTGTGATATTCTGACTTTTGAAGAAGCTCTTTATTATAATTTCTAACATGAATGTAATAGGTATGACACAAAATATCATTTTCATATACACCTCATATTTTTTATTTTATCTTGTGATAATAAATTATTACTCTTCCTATTCTCTATATTAAAATTACTTCGTATTATATGACATAATCATTTCTGAAAAAAAAAAAATAAGCAGCGCTTCATGCTTCATGCTTTTTCATTTGAATCTAATGCTATAGCTTTTGATGAAAATCATTGTTGAAAGTTTAAAAGAAATCTATGAAATTTAGAGCATAGGGTCATTAGTCCTTAAAATCATATATGTGTGGTCAAATTTTCGTTGTTTGAGAGATCAATATTGGTTCATTGGATTTTTTTTTTTTTGTTTTTACGAATACATGAATTCATGGGTATCTTCATACATATCCAACAATACAAAGCCCCACCCCCCACCCCCCCCCCACCCCACACACACACCTCCGAAAATTTGTAATTTCATAGTATGTAACTTTTTTTTTTAAAAGGAGCATTTTAAATTTATTCATTTACCAAGATTGCATCTATCTCCATAAAATGGTTCCCTGCATCCTTCAAGACAACTTCCATTGAATCTATCACAAGTGTCATTTGCACAATTTCGGCTGCAAGTGTAGGAACAATTTTTGCCATACATGTTAGGAAGACACCCTAAAACAATGAAATATTTATCTTAACACTTTAATTTCATAAAGATATAATATTCCAAAATATATTTAGGTGAACCAGTTAAAAATGATTTATATTCACTTTTGTTGCAATACGGAGAACCCGTCCAACCGGAACTGCACACACAAGAACCATCAGTATGTCTACATGTACTCGTGCATTTTGAAGAACAGACACTGGAGCAATTTTTACCATAGTGGTTGACTGTACAGGCTAAAATGTGGGTAAAAATTTAAGACTATACTTTGATATATGATAATGTAAAAAATGATTAAAAATTAACATATAATTTCCAAATACGTTGACTATAAGAGGTTCCATATTTTACGTGTGGTACAATTTAGTCCAGTGTAACCGTCTTCACATCCACGAGAACAAATCCCGTTTACGTGATTACAACTTCCACTCTCAGTACAGTGTTCACTACAGCGGTATCTGCATCCTTTTCCAAACCATCCAGATGTACATTCTGTAAAAATTAGCAAGTGTTCGTTAAGACAGCAAAAACAGATATTAATATTACATATGATTAGAAATTTGCCTTCTTTTTCAAACCACCCAGTTTCTAAAATGAACAAATAAATACTTCAGAAACATGGATTTATATTATGTCAGTAATATTAAAACCTGCTTTACATAAATCACCAATATATCCATCACTACATCCCAAGTCACAGTGCCCAGTTTCTTTGTTACATGGTTCACTTAAACAATGTCCACTGCAGTAGAAAGTACAATTGATACCATAACGCCCATTATCACAAGCTGAAATTAGATAAATATATTTATTACATTTTCAACAGTGAAATACTGTGATTTAATTTATTGAATAAAAGTGATATCCTGTTAGTGTGAAAGGATACCAACGTGATATTATATTCTCTCACAGTGTGAAAGGATACCATAGTAAGTAAATAATAATTTCTGGCCTATCATAAGTTAAAGTAACTAAACAATCTTGATAGAAACTAAAACTGCTTATTTCTTGCCAATGTATTGCTAAAATCTCTTTATTATGCTTTCAATCTCACAAATTGCTAAACTATGACGTCTCAACCGCTCAACAATGACGTCGAAGCGAATGACACTGTGTTAAGAAAAGGTAGATACCAAAGGGAAATAAAAAAAAATATAATAAATAGAAAATTCAATGCTTTTTAGTTGGATATGCTTCGCACTCGTGAAAATAAAATAAACCCTGTCCCACTCGTGAAATAAGTTCAAAATCTAACTACAAAACATTGAATATCCTCTATGTACTTTTGGTCAATAATTATGCCTTAATAATTAAAAAACATTTAAAATCTTTCTTTTTTCATATTATATTCCTTACATTAGTCTCACTCTGAATATCAGTAAGACCCCTAAAAATCTTTTTTTCTCATAGAATTTCAACATATATGTTGAATGAATGGGAAAATTCAGGAATAAAAAAAAAATTCTTAATTCCTGAAGGTTGAAAAAGTTTTGAGTTGGATCTTTTTTAGCCAGTCGGTCGGGAGAGAGCAACCAAACATTTTGTTTTAAAGATTGCCTGAGGATAATATTTTTCCCTTATATATATTTTTTCCTATTAATGAGTAATACTTTTATTAATATAAAAATGTAAAAAGTATAAAAGTAAAAAGGTTTCACGTATGCATAAACTTCATTTACTGTGGTTTCATCAATATTCGTTGAGCACCAATTTTCAAGGATTTCGTTGTTGGGCAGATCCACGAAATTAAATGTTCATTGATTTACGAAAAATGTTATTCATTTGTATAGGCAATGCTTTTGTCCACGAAATTACGTATCCTCGAAAACGTCTGTTTTACAAAATACACGAAAATTGATGCCAACGAAAATTGATGAAACCACAGTAAATCCAATTGGTATTAATGCACTTGTCACTTCAAAAGACATTTCTTTATCTTAATATTGTAGTCTTAATTACTTTTATTGCACCCAGTCCCAATCCATCCCGAAACACAGCCTTTGACACATTCACCCGTCACGAGGTCACATGGAGTTCCATCTTTACAATGTCCTGAACATCGAAATTTACAGTCCTGACCGTATGATCCTTTAGGGCAAGCTATTTTGAAAAGAAGTTAGTTTTTCAAAACCATTTAGGGGTTTACACATATCCGAAATAGGCTTATTTATAAAATGAAAATAAACCTTACGTGTTTGACAGCTTTCTCCCTTCCATCCTGGCTTGCATTTCATACAAGTTCCATGGACAATATCACATTCACTTCCAAAACAATTAATGGGACAATTCATATCACAATTTATACCATACTCTCCTCTAGAGCACCCTGTTGAAGAAATGTTTTGGTAATTGGAAACAGGAAAATAGGAGAAATTTTAAATACATGTATGACTTTCTAAGCTTACCTTCCACTACGACCTCACACAACTGAATTAAAGAAATAGATTGATATCCTTCTGGATACGTCACTCCAATCAGTCTTTCATTGTAGTAGATGACATATCGACCATATCCAATACAGTTTGTTGTGAAATTTAATGGAGGTAACCCCGCTACGTCTTTGTAGCACATATACCCGTCTTCTTTCTTGGTAGAGTCTGAGAGATACAGAGAAAATCCAGCAAACCTACCCCTTTGTCTCAGGACTAAGCCAAATGGAGAAAATGGAATATGAAATTAAAAACATTTAATGAGGACAAAAACATCTGCATATTTAATTTTTAAGATGAGGAATCTCTGCAGTCGTGATAAGTAAGCGTTTTTTTAATACATTGTAGATTTTTACTTTGATTCTTAAGCCCCCGTATCGAAGATTCGGGGGTATATAGTTTTTGCCTTGTCCGCCTGTCTGTTTGTGTGTTTGCCAGCAAAAACTTTAACCTTGCCCATAACTTTTGATTGGTTGGACCTATAACTTTCGTATTTCACATGTGTATTCCTTGTGACAAGAGTCGCCCGCGTGGCGCAGTGGTTAGAGAATCTGCTCTAGAGTCGGGGAGTAAGGAGTTGATCCTTACGTCGCGGATTCGAATCACACTGCGGGACGTGGAGACCGGTCCTTTGGATAAGACCGTATATACCGAGGTCCCGTGTCGCAGTAGGTGCTGGCACGAAAAAGATCCCTCACTGTTCAATGGGCCTGAATGCCGAGTATAGGTCAAAATTTGTAGCCCTACACCGGCAAGTGGTGGCGTCTGCAGATGAGTGAAAAATTCTCGAGAGGGACGTTAAACAACAAACAATGAATCCTAGTGACAAGACCTTTCTTTGGTACCATCATTTTTTACCTTTTGACCTTGACCTTAGAGTTTGACCCACTTTTGCAAAATTTAAAGAGATTTTAACCTTGGTAATGACTTTTGAATGGTTGGTGCTAGGGCTTTCATACTTCACATATGTAATCCTTGTGACAAGACCTTCCTTTGGATGCCAACCATTTTGACCTTTTGATCTTGACCTACTTTCGAAAAAATGTTAACCTTGGCCATAACTTTTGAATGGTTGGTGCTAGGGCTTTTATATTTCACATATGTAATTCTTGTGACAAGATCTTGCTTTGGATACCAACCACTTTACCTTCTTGACTTGACCTAGGTGTTTGACCTACTTTCGAAAAACTTTAACCTTGGCCATAACTTTTGAATGGTTGGTGCTAGGTCCTTGGTCCTTGTGACAAGACCTTCCTTTGGATTCCAACAACTTTGACTTTGACCTTGACGTTTTACTTACTTTTAAAAAACTTGTTTTCAAGACCTTTCCTTGGGAACCAATTTTTTTTTAATTTTTTGGCCTGGATTTTGAGTTGCATTTGAGAAACTTTAACCTTCGCCATAAGCTGTCATACGGGGACATAAGTGTTTCTCAAACACAACTTGTTTATTTTATGCTTTTATGCTTTTTTACAAAGAAGATGGGCGAACAAGTTAAGGAAAAAAACCTACTTTGAGACAAATAAAAAAGTGAAAACTAAAATCTCAATTATGACAAATTTTCTCTAATATTTCAGTGACCAGAAGAACTTATGCGATAGTAAGGTGTCCGTCGTCCGTCCGTCTGCCTGACTGTCTGTAAACAATTTTTCAAAACGGTCCTCCTACAGTTTTGGTCTGATTTCAACATAACTTGGCACATAAGTAAACTACACTAAGATACATAATTCTGTGTATCGATTTTTGATTTCAATGAACCGTGTTGCCATGGTTACTAAAAATAGAGATTTTTTGGAAATACTTTCAAAACGCTACTCCTCCTACAGTTTTGTTCTGATATCAATATAACTTGACACACAAGTAGACTATACTAAGATACATAATTCTGTATATGGGGTTTTGATTTCAATGAATGCTGTTGCCATGGTTACTAAAAATAGAAATTTGCGAGAAAAACTTTCAAAACGCTACTCACCCTACAGTTTTTATCTGATTTCAGTATAACTTCACACACAAGTACACTATCATAAGATACATAATTCTGTGAATCGGTTTTTGATTTCAAAAAAAGGTGTTGCCATGGTTACTAAAAATAGAAATTTCCTTGAAATACTCTCAAAATGCTACTCCTCCTACAGTTTTGGTCTGATTTCAGAATAACTTGACACACAAGTGGACAACACTAAGATACATTATTCTCTCAATTCTCAGTTTTGGAGTTCGATGAACATTGTTGCCATGGTTACTAAAAATAGAAGTTTTCTTTAAAAACTTTCAAAACGCTACTTCTACCCTTTTTGTCTGATTTCAGTATAATTTGGCCTACAAGTAGACTACACTGAGATGCATAATTGTCGTTATTGTTTTTTTTTTCTTTTTTGATTTTGTTGAACGATGTTGCCATGGTTACTTAAATCAAAATTTCTGTAAAATTGTTAAAAGGCTACTCCTCCTACAGTTTTAGTCTGATTGCAATAAATCTTGCCACAAAAAGAGACTAAACCAAGGATCATTATTCTATTTATTGCTGTTCCAAAGTTTCAAGTCCAAGTGCTACTTTTATCATCCTTTATAAGTACAACCAGTAGAGCTACAGTCTCGTCAGAGACTTCTGGTTGTACACCGTCACGCGTAGAAATATAAACACACGAAAAAATGACGTCACAATGAGGCTAACGTGATGACAAAAAAAAAACAACAAAAAACAATAAAGGACAGCAAAAAAAAAAAAAAAAAAAAAAAAAAAAATCACATTTTCAGTATATTTTTTTTCGTTTTAGACATTTAAAATGCAAACATGAGTGTTTATCAGTTTGTGAGTGTTGTTTATGTGTAAGTCACACAGACGTGCACATAGGCATATTTTTCATGAATTGCTACAGAGCTTCATTAAATAAGCTTGTCTGACAAATATGTTGGATTTACATACCACTAACATTCACAAAATAAAAAAAAATAACGCAGCACTGTTAAGGCTGCATAAAGGGGACGAGACCTTATTTATTCGGGAAATGTTTACTGTGACATCACACAAAAAAGCAATTCCACACAATACCAGAAATTGACATAATTTGCAATTGTAAGGCTGTATAAGAGTAGTAAACTACATCAAAATTTAGCAATGCGTTAATTTTTGTCGCTAGTTAAATCCCACACAGCGAGGTATAAAAAAGAGTCAATGATCGCAATGCACTTGTCGACATGACGTCATCATGGCAAAATTTGACGCATTTTATTTACAGTCTAATGCGGATCAAGTATTTTTTTGACAGTGACAAATGCGTTTTATTATTAAACAGAATATTATTTAAAGATGTTAGATGGACCATTAATACCATATGAAACATTTTTTGATGGCATTATTCAATCTTTATTGATCGAGTGTATTGAATTAATTTTACCTTGTTTTAGTGTACAAGGTTGGCCTGTTCAAGATCGAGGTGTTGTCTTAAGGGGGCCGACTTGGGTTTTCATTGCGTAATACTTTGCGAAGCATAGTAAAATTAAGCGTATTTACAATTTTAAAGCAACTTTTTTTTTACTTAATTTATAAAAATTTACAAAATTCGGAAATCCCAGGTTAGAAAATCTAATTACGTTCTTAAATAACTGATTTTTAAACGATTTTTTAAAAATGATGGTTAGATAGACGTCGTAATAGTGAGTTTTTGACCTTATGAAAGAACGAAGTTCTTTAAGAGGGACCATTAATTATGTCATAAAATAAAAAGTATAAAATATATGCTCTTGAAATATTAAACATAGGAAATTGAGAATCTGACAAACATTTTTATTATTTTATTTATAAATCTATGGCATCTGTCATGTTTTGTAGTACTCCATAAAACAGGAAAATATCATGAATTTTGACATTTTGAGATGCTCGCTCTAGAAACCAGGCGGTAGAATTTTGTGTTTCTTGCATAAAATGTACAATATAGTATTATTCGTCAAATAATTTAATTTGAGGAAGAAGTTTATAGTAGCATTTGTATAATTTGCTCCGAAGTGCTGAAAACAACAGTGTTTTCCTATATAATCCTATAGTAAATGTACCTGTATTTTGAAATGGTCCCTAAAATTAACCAGACGGTAGATTTTCACTAAACTTGGCATGTATACTGAAGTCAATGTAAGGTACAAATGGTATAAAATTAAAGAGTTTCTCTTTAGTAGTTTCCACACGATGAAACCCCAGTCGGCTCCCTAAAATCGCCTTTTCGCAAGGGCATACACTTAATAGATCTTGATCATTTGTTTGAATGTACATAAAGAAATGTTCCTTTATTTGAAAAGTGCTGCTGCTTTCCTTAAATCGGGGACATGTCTTAATAAATGGATAAGATACTTGGTAAAACTCACAAATTTTTCAACTTGAGCACAATTATTTGAAATTTAAACTAAGAAAATGGGAATTCTATTTAAAGCAGCAGCACTTTCCAAGAACTACAAGATATGTACAAATAATTTATTACTTAAATTTTGATTTTTTTTTCTAGGGCATGCCCTTGCGATATTGACCTCCGTGAAGAACACATTATAAGCATTTATTACGTGATTGTCAAATAAAATGACCAAACTTAATTCAATACAAAGTGGGGTATAATATGTTATTTCAATTAAATTAAATTATTGTGATAATATAATAGCTTTACAAAAAATAAACTCCATTTTAAAAAAGGTATCTATTTATACACGTCTATATTCCGTTGATTTCTTCATAGTACGCCTAACAGTGCGCATTCCTCAAGTAACAAGCATTCTGAGAGTATATTGTATTAGCAATACTAGTCCCCTACCGATAAGTGTAATCTGGTTCCCGCTAAAAATTGAAAATGCCATAATTCCGTCAAAAATCAATGAAGCGGAATGAAATGCAAATTTGATCTTTAACTCATCAAAGTAAAGCACATACATGTACCAAAAATCAGCTCTATATCTGCAAGCGTTTAGAAAAAAAAATGCGGAAAATCCCAAAAACTTGAAAATGGACTTAATTACGCCAAAAATCATTAAAGCGAAACTAAATGCAAACTTGATCTGTAACTCATCAAGATACACTCACATACCAAAACTAAGCTCAATATCTGCTAGCGTTTAGAAAAAAAGTGCGGAAAACCAAGTGTGACACACTGACAGACA